TTTTCCTGTTTTGTCATGTTAGCCAACCTGGTAGGTGTGATGTGGTACCTCAAAGTCGTTTTGATTTGTGTTTCTCTAATCAATAGTGATTTAGAGCATTTTTTCATATGACTATAGATACCTTTAATTTCTATATCTAAAAAGTATCTGTTCATATCCTTTGACCATTTCTCAATTGGGGAATGACTTGTATTCTTATAAATTTGACTTAGTTCTCTATATATTTGAGAAATGAGGCCTTTATCAGAGACACTGGTTGTAAAAATTCTTCCGCAGTTTTCTCCTGCCCTACTAATCTTGGTTACATTGGCTTTGTTTCTGCAAAAACTTTTTGATTTGATATAATCAAAATTATCCATTTTACATTTCATAATGTTCTTTATCTCTTGTTTGGTATCTGTTTGGTCATAAATTCTTCTGTTCTCCATAAATCTGACATGTGAACTATTCCTTGCTCTCCCAGTTTGCTTATAATATCAGCCTTTATATCTAAATCATGTACCCATTTTGACTTTGTTTTGGTATATGGTATAAGATGTTGGTCTATGCCTTGTTTCTGCCATACAATTTTACAGTTTTCCCAGAAGTTTTTGTTAAATAGTGAGTTCTTATCCCAGACACTGGAGTCTTTGGGTTTATCAAACAGTAGATTACTGAAGTCATTGACTACTGTGTCTTGTGTACCAAACCTATTCCACTAATCTGCCACTCTATTTCTTAGCCAGTACCAAGTAGTTTTGATGATTGCTGCTTTATAATACAACTTAAGGTCTGGTATGGCTAGGCCACCTTCTCTAGCATTTCTTTTCATTAATTCCCTTGATATTCTGGACCTTTTGCTCTTCCAGATGAATTTTGTTATTTTTTTTAGCTCTACAAAAATTTTTTTTGGTAGTTTGATTGGTATGGCACTGAGCAAGTAAATTAATTTGGTAGAATTGTCATTTTTATTATATTAGCTTGGCCTACCCAAGAGCAACTGATGTTTTTACAATTATTGAGATCTGACTTTATTTGTGTAAAGTGTTTTGTAATTGTGTTCATAGAGTTCCTGGGTTTGTTTTGGCAGGTAGACTCCCAAATATTTTACAATGTCTACAGTAACTTTATTTTTTTGGGGGGGAGGGAGGGTTGGGCAGTGGGGTTAAGTGACTTGCCCAGGGTCACGCAGCTAGTAAGCGTTATGTGTCTGAGGCTGGCTTTGAATTTCAGGCCCTCCGGAATCCAGGGCCACTGCTCTATCCACTGTGCCACCTAGCTGCCCCTCTACAGTAACTTTAAATGGAATTTCTCTTTCTATCTCTTGCTTTTGGGCTTTGTTAGTAATATATAGAAATGCCAGTGACTTATGTGGGTTTATTTTATATCCTGCAATTTGCTAAAGTTGTTTATTATTTCAAGTAGTTTTTTACTTAATTCTCTAGGATTCTCTAAGCATCATCATATCATCTGCACAGAGTGGTAGCTTTGTTTCTTTTTTGCCTATTCTAATTCCTTCAATTTCTTTTTCTTACTATTAAAGCTAATGTTTCTGGTACCATATTGAATAACTGTGGTGATAATGGACATTCTTGTTTCACCCCTGATCTTACTGGAAATGCTTCTAACTTGTCCCCATTGTGTATAATGCTTGCTTGCTGTTAAGAAAGACTCCATTTATTCCTATGCTCTCTAGTGTTTTTAATAGAAATGGATGTTGTATTTTGTCAAAGCCTTTTCTGCATCTATTGAGATAATCACATGGCTTCAGTTAATTTTGTTGTTGATATGGTTAATTATGCTAATAGTTTTTGTAATGTTGAACCAGCCCTGCAATCCTGGTATAAATCCTACCTGGCCATAGTGTAATATTCTCTTGATAAGTTGCTATAATCTTTTTGCTAATATTTTATTAAAAATTTATGTATCTATTTTCCTTAGGAAACTGGTCTATACTTTTCTTTCTCTGTTTTGACTCTTCCCGGTTTAGGTATCAGTACCATATTTGTATCATAAAAAGAATTTGGTAGGACTCCTTCACCTATTTTCCCAAATGGTCTATGTAGTATTGGAATTAATTGTTCTTTAAATGTTTAATAGAATTCACTTATAAATCCATGTGGCCCTGGAGATTTTTTCTCAGGGAGTTCATTGATGGCTTGTTCAATTTCTTGTTCTGAGCTGGGGTTATTTAAGTATTTTATTTCCTCTTCTGTTAATCTGGGCAATTTATATTTTTGTAAATATTCATCTATTTCACTAAGATTGTCAAATTTATTGGCATACACTTGGGCAAAATAGCTCCTAATTATTGTTTTAATTTCTTCTTTATTGGTGGTGAATTCACCCTTTTCATTTTTGATACTGGTAATTTGGTTTTCTTCTTTTTTTTTTACTTAAATTAATTAAAGATTTATCTGATTTATTGGTTTTTTCATAAAACCAGCTCTTAGTTTTATCTATTAGTTCAATAGTTTTCTTAATTTCAATTTTATTAATGTCTCCTTTGGTTTTCAGTATTTCTAATTTGGTATTTAATTGGGAATTTTTAATTTGGTTTTCTTTTCAGTTGTTTTTTTAGTTGCATGCGCAATTCATTGATCTCTTCTTTCTCTATTTTATTCATATAAGCATTTAGAGATATAAAGCTTACCCTAAGAACTGCTTTTGCTGCAGCTCATAAGTTTTGGTATGTTGTCTCATTATCAACGTTCTCTTTGTATGAAGTTATTGACTGTTTCTATGATTTGTTGTTTGACTCACTCATTCTTTAGGATTAAATTATTTAGTTTCTAATTAATTTTAGTGTATCTTTCCATGGCCCTTTATTACATGTAATTTTTATTGCACCATGATCTGAAAAGGAGGCATTTAATATTTCTATCTTTCTGCAATGAATTGTGAGGTTTTTATGCCCTAGTATATGATCAATTTTTGTGTAGCTGCCATGTACCACTGAGGAAAAAGTATATTTTTTCTATATCCATTCAATTTTCTCTGGAGTTCTACCATATCTAATTTTTCTAAGATTGTATTCACCTCCTTAACTTATTTCTTATTTATTTTGTGGTTAGACTTATCTAGTTCAGAGAGGGGGAGGTTGAAGTCCCCCACTAGTATAGTTATGCTGTCTATTTCTTCCTGTAACTCCATTAACTTCTCCTTTAAGAATTTGAATGCTGTACCAATTGGTGCATATATGTTTAGTAATGATATTACTTCATTGTCTATGGTGCCTTTTAGCAGATGTAGTTTCCTTCCTTATCTCTTTTAATTAAATCTATTTTTGCTTTTGCTTTGTCTGAGGTCAAGATTGCTACCCTTGATTTTTTTACTTCAGCTGAAGCATAATATATTCTACTCTAGCCTTTTACCTTTACCCTGTGTATATCTCTCTATTTCAAATATGTTTCTTGTAAACAACATATTTAGGATTATGGTTTTTAATCCATTTTGCTATCCACTTCCATTTTGTGGGAGAGTTCATCCCATTCACATTCAGTTATGATTACTATCTGTGTCTTTCTTTCCATCCTACTCCACCCCACTGTTTTTGCGTTTCTCTCTCCTCCTTTTCCCTCCTCACTAGAATTTTGCTTTAGACCACTGCCTCCCTCAATCTGACCTCTCTTCTGTCAGCCCCTTCCCTTTTCTTTCCCCTTTCCCCTTCTACTGCCTATAGAGTATGATATTCCTTCCTTGAGCCAAATCTGATGAGAGTAAGGTTCAAACAATGCTTATCTCCCTCCCTTCTTTCCCTCTACTGTAATATGACTTTGTGCTTCTTCATGTGAAGTAATTTACCCTTTTCTGTCTCCTCCTTTCCATTTCTGCCATTACAATCCCTTTTCACCACTTAATTGGGTTTTTTTTTTACCATCACATCAAAGTCAACTTATACCCACACCCTCTATTTATGTATATCCCTTCTAAATGTTGTAATAAAGATACAGTTCTCAAGAGTTACAAGTATCATCTTCTCATGTAGGGATGTAAACAGTTTGCCCTTATTGAATAACATGTTGTTTTTTTCTTTCCTGTTTACCTTTTTATGCCTCTTAGGAGTCTTGTACCTGAAGATCAAATTTTCCATTGAGCTCTGATCTTTTCATCAGGAAAGTCTGGAAGTCTACTATTTCATTGAATATCCATCTCCTACCCTGAAAGATTATGCTCAGTTTCACTGGGTTGTAATCCTTGATTGTAATCCAAGCTCTTCTGCCATATGTAATATCATATTCCAAGCCCACCGATCTTTTAATATATAAGCTGCAAGGTCCTGCATAATTCTGACTGTGGTTCCATGATATTTGAGTTGTTTCTTTCTGGCTGTTTGCAGTATTTTCTCCTTGACCTGATAATTCAGGAATTTGGCTATAATGTTTCTTGGTGTTTTCAATTTGGATTCTCTTTCAGGAGGCGATCAGTGGATTCTTTTGATGACTATTTTACCCTCTGGTTCTAGGTCCTCAGGGCAGTTTTTCTTGATTATTTCTCGAAAGATACTGTCCAGGCTCTTTTTTTGATCATGGCTTTCAGGTAGATCAATAATTCTTAAATTATCTCTCCTGGATCTGTTTTCCAGGTCAGTTGTTTTTCCATGAGGTAGTTTACATTTTTTTCTACTTTTTTCATTCTTTTGATTTTGTTTGATTGATTCTTGATGTCTCATAGAGTCATTAGCTTCCACTTGCCCACTTCTAATTTTTAATGAATTGTTTTTTTCAGTTAGCTTTTGTACCTCCTTTTCCATTGGCCAATTCTACTTTTTTTTTTTTTGAGGCTTCCAAAGAGCTTTTACTGGATTATTATTCACCAATCCATTAAAATGTGTCTTGTTGCTAAAAAAAACAAAGGCCCATTCAGTTGTATGTAGGGAGTGGGGGGAGCAAGGGTAAAGAGGAGGGAATGGGCACCACAATTGTTGGGAACCAGATGGTGTTTTATTCCTAAAATATTTTCTCTTCAGGATGTTCCAGAGATTCCAAACAAACAAAGACTTCTGGATGCTAACCTTGGAGCCATATTCCTTTACTCAGTGCAGAAGGGACCAGACTAGAGAAGACCATGGGTTACTTGCTCAGACTTTGAAGGGCAGAGAGGAGACATAGGTATTTATTTTCCTCATCCCCAAGCTTATTGATGCTCCCCCCTAAAGTTACCTTGTATTTATTTCAGACATATTTTATATCTGTCTGTGTCCATGTTATTTCCTTGACAGAATGTAAGCTCCCTGAAGGCAGCTGTCTTCAAATTCCAGAGATTTACACAGTGCCTAGCACTTAATAAGTGCTTGATCAATGCTTGTTGATTGATCGTAGTGGATACAAAGAAAGGCATTAGATGATTGCTGCCCTCAAGAAGCTCAATCCATTGGGAGAGACAACCCACATAAAAGAAGCTAAAAAGTGGGGGATTCTTGGAGTGGAGTGGGGGAGACTTTATCAGTTCTAGGGCACAATGAAGTCCTGTAGCCTAGGAGGGAAATGATTTGAGTAGATGAGAGTTTCAGAGTTGATTTTGTCTCACAGATTGATGAGTTAATGGAAATCATGAAGTCCAGGATAGAAAGTAGGTGGGAAATCATGAGGTAAATTCCCAGAGAGCCCTCTTTAAGTGGTAGAGGATCAGGGAGGAGGTCTCCAATGTTCAACTTTCATCTTCTCCAATAGGGAAATAGGGGCAGGAGTTGCTGAGGAAGTGAGAGCTGATTTAACCCTTCAGAAGGATGATTTTCTGGAGATCATGAGGTCCAGGAGAGCAGCTTGGACATTTCCTTTGCCATTTGGATATTTTATAGCTTTAATTCTTCAGAGATTGTGTTCTTCCATGATTAGTAGCCATTCACTCCCAATCACCCATACTTGCAACCTCCCTTCTTATTGCAGTTACAACATATCCAATCTGTGGCTAAAGCTCAGTGTTGCTGTCTTTCTATCTTTCCTATATGTCTCCACTCTCCACTCACATAGCCACCACCCTAGTTCAGGCCCTTCTCACCTCTCACATAGACTATTTCTATACCTTCTCATTGCTCTCCCTACCTCCCAATTCTACTGTTTAAGGAGTTGTTTTCTTTAGTATACTTTTTTTCCTATTTTGGCAATTGTACTTTTAAAGGAATTGTTCAATTTTTCTTCTACCTCTCTTATTTGACTTTTAAAATCTTCTTGAGCTTTTCTAAGAGGCTTTTTGGACTTGAGACCAGTTCATATTCTCCTTTGAGGTTTTGGATGTGGGTATATTGACAATGTTGTTCTCTCTTGAATTTGTGTTTTGATTTTCCCTGTCACCATAATATTTCTCGATGGTAATTGTTTTTCTTTGTTTCTTTTTGCTCATGGTATTTGCCTTTTTTCTGACTTTTAAAGTTGATCTCTGCTTCTGGGGTACAGGGTGCACTGTCCCACACTTTTTTGTGCTGGAGGCTGTAAGTGTCTGGTAGTTTACCTGGTGCTGAGCTGGAGCTGGTGGTGGCTGGTGTGTGCCTAGTGTTGGCACTACCCTGAGGCTCAGGATCCCCCGCTGGTTTGTTTAGTCAGGGCTTGCCACTGGCTTGTTAGGATGCCTCACGTCCTATACTGGTCCCCTTCAGCCACAGCAAGAGGGACCTTTCCTGTTAATCCCCCTAGCCTCCTTAACTAAAGACTGCTGCACCTCATCTTTCTGCTGACTCCACTATTATAGGATTTTTCCTAGAGCAGTATTCTCTGGACTTTTCAAGGTCCATAAGAAAGGGTGAGAGTGTCTTACTGCTTACTCTGCCATTTTGCCTTCTGGAAATTTTTTTATTATTTCAATGATTTGTTCTTTGACCCACTCATTATTTAGGATTTCATTGTTAAGTCTTTATTTGTAACTATGTCTTTTGTTTGTGCTCCCACAACTGATTTATCATTTTTATTCCCTTGTGATCTATAAAGAATGTGTTTACTCTTTCTGCCTTTTTACATTTATTTGCAATATCTCTGTGCCCTAACAGATGTTCATTTTTCGTAAAAGTTCCATGTGGTGCTGAGAAATACATGTGTTCTTTAGTAGTACCATTTAGGATATGTCTTAAGTCTTTTAGCTCTAGTTTCTCAATAATTTGTTCAAATCTGTATTTTCCCTTTTGCTTATATTTGTTAGATTTTTCCAAAATTAAGAGAGGGATATTAAAATGTGCTGCCACTATTGTATTATTATCTATATATTCTTATAAGTCAGTTAATTTTTCCTTTATGAATCTAGATGCTAAGGCATTTGGAGCACCTAAGTTTCACATTTATATTAGTGTATGGCTCCTTTTACCATAATGTAGCTTCCTTGTTTATTTCTTTTAATGTATGAATTATTGTTTTTACTTTCTGATAGCATGATTGTAACTTTTGCTTTATTTTTCCTTTTTGGTGAGGTAATTGGGGTTAAGTGACTTGCCCAATGTCACACAGCTAGAAAGTGTCAAATGTCTGAGGCTGGATTTGAACTCAGATCCTTCTGACTCCAAGGCTGGAGTCCTATCCACTGCTCCACCTACCTGCCCTGCTTTTCTTTTTTTAATTCATCTGATGCATAGTAAATTTTGTTCTAACCAAAGGCTGATTCTTTATTGACCATGAGTGCTTTTCACATTTTGTGGGAACTTTAATCGTAGAACAGTATTATAAGTCTTTAGGACTGTATAGAACCCTAAGAGTAATAGAAGCCCACTTGACACAGGAAGACAATTGTTCTGATTATGCAAGGATTATGACATAAACCCTGTTTTGTGTTTCTTGACAGATTAAGTAAAGCCCATGTTAGACTTTATGGTTTTTGGTTTTTTGTTGGGTTTTTTTTGGCTAGGCAATGGGGTTAAGTGACTTGCCCAGGGTCACACAGCCAGTAAGTGTTATGTGTCTGTGGCCGGATTTGAACTCAGGTCCTCCTGAATCCAGGGCCAGTGCTCTATCCACTGAGCTACTTAGCTGCCCCTAGACTTTATGTTTTGTTAACTCAATTGTTTGCATGAGACCTGAGGCCATTTCCATTTTGTCAAGGAGACCAAACATGAGTCAAAACATATGTTCCTGGGAAACATTGTGCCTGTACTGTGGCATAAGCCAAACAAATTTGTGTGAAAAGATCCTCAAACTTGAACCTGGTCCATGCAAACCCAGATCTTTCAGTTGTGGGACATAGGTTACACAGATAAAGAGAGGGCTGAGAAGGAAGGGGACAAATGGAGTTGGCTCTGCTATAACATGATGATAACATGCTATAACACTCCTTAAAATCACAGCACTTTGCAAAGTCATGCAATAAGGGGAAAATAGAGTTAGGGCACAACACTTCCAGCCATAGATATTTCTTTTATTTTCATAGTGTGGTCCTCAATGTAAATTCTTTTTTTGCCTATTGCTCAAAAGATAACATATTTCTCTTGTTTCTTTCAAAATGCTTTATTACTTCAAGTTTCTCCTTAATACTTAAATATATACTTAAGCATATAAAAATATACTTAATACTTAAAAAATAAAAATATTTTATTTTTGCATGCATTGCTTGGCGTTTTTGAACCTGGATGCTTGAACATGTTTAGGATATGGAATGAGAAACACTCAAATAAAAAACATTTAACATAGAAAAGTCCACAAATGCAAAAGAATGGCAAAACACAACCTTGTAGAATAGCATACTCAATGAAGCAAGGTATCTGGAGGATATCTGAAGCATGTGCATTTTATGTATTCATGTAGTTTCCATTTCAGAAGCTGGAATCTTCTGTATTCACATAGTGTTTCACAGGGATGAAATCACACATGAGCAAATATGAAATTTACATTATGCTGAAATTGTTCTCTAATAACGTCAATTGCATTGGAACAAATTTGCATTTTCATAACAAGCATTATTGCAGAACTGATTATATAAAGGCTGATAGAGGAAATAAAGTAAGTGGAGAAGTATGAGGGATGAAGGAGAGAGGGAGGGTAGAGAAATATTTAGGCTGATAAGAGGCTACATGGAATAATATACAGATTGAAGGAAAGAGAGAACACATGTAGACATTATAGGGCTTAAAAGTTGCCAGAGCAGGGTAGAGTGGCGATGGGAAACCTTGACAGAAAAGTAGGCAAATGGATAATATTTATATGACTTGAAAGCAGAGAAGTGTTGTAGAGAAATACAGAGGCCACATGGGAAAAAGGAAAAATGGGAAAGTACATAAAGACCAGTTGAGAATCAATAGCTTAATGGCTTGAGACAATAGCTCCAACAAAGTGCAAGATATGAAACAAATCCATAAAATCATTGACATTTCTATACTACTAATAAAACCAAACATGTTCTATTATCTTTAAATTTCTGATGGAAACCATACCTAAAGTATAAATGTTGATGTTTCCCTTGTGACACACATGAATCTGGGGTGTAGATTAAGAATTTTAATAAGGAAATGAGGCATGAATTATATTTGGAGATTTGTTCAGAGTTTACATACTGGATGGAGGTCAAGTACAAGACAAATTTGTGATAAATTTACGAAATATCATATGCAAAGCAATCTTTTACATTTCTAAAACCTTAGACCAAGCCTAGAGAAACCAGGGCCAAGGAAAGGATGGGGGATGAGAAGAGTAGGTGTTTGCAATAGTTTGTATAGGACCAGTGGGACAAACTCCCTATTTCCACTACCTATTTTTAGTAATAGGACTAAATCCCTCGTCTTATGAAAGTCCAATCTCAATCAGTCAACAAACATGTTCAGGCACTGTGGGCAATATGGATATGAAAATAAATGCAACAGTCTCTATGTTCAAGGAGGTTTCATTTGTTTAGGCGGAAGATCATGTACACAGATAATTAAAGGCAAAATATATAAGAAGTCATTTCTGGTTGGGAGGATGTACAGTATTAGGAACTAAGGATCAGGTTAAGCTTCCTGTAGGAGGTGACACAAACAGAATTTTGGAGGCAGCTTAATTCTAGATTCCACAAAGCAGAAGTGAGGAGGAAGCACATTTCCAGCATGGAGAGACTTTATACAAAATCACAGGGGTGAAAGACAAAATATCCTGTATGTGGAACAGCAAGTAAGCCAGTTTGGCTTGAGTGCATGAAGGACAGTAATGTGCAGTGAGCCTGG